GGATCTCGCCGTCTGCTATCCACCCTGGACCAGGCTTCAGGTTCCAGTAGGTGAACCTCTTCCTTCTGTAGAGCGAAGCAGGATCAGGAACAAGAGCTCTTACAAGAGCTCAGTAGCTAAGGGAGGATGAAGAGCATAGCAATCCCTGTAGTGATTAAAGCTGTCCCCTACAAACATGAGTCGAGGCTGCAAGTTAGAGGATCAAGTAGTTCTCTTTAATTGGTACCAAAGGGCCTTCTTTTATGGAGGTCTTACACATACAGGACCGCCCACAGTGTTTTGCAGAACAACCAATAAACACGTAACATAAGTAAAAACACACCCATCAATAACACACAAATCCTCCCCTCTGCCTGTGATATAATTACTGAACACAATGGGTTAAAGTAATTATCACAGGCAGGAAAAATATACTTTTTACACATACACTGCAACTTTAAAAATATACGTCCAATCTTCATAAAAATTACATATTCAGAATCAGCACACTAAATATAAACATAACCAAAAATCATACAAATCCCTCCAGTAGATAAAAGGTTAGCTGGGAGTCCTTTATGACCGACCGCAAGCACATTTTCCTGCCCAAAACAGTTCCATAGATTTGGGCTGTGCAGTCAGTCTATTTCAGGCAGAAAAATGACCAAGTCCCATTCGAATGCACGAACGAAGCCGTTCGTGCAATTGGCTCAGTATAGCAGTGAGTTCAAACTGCCGAACGGGACTTAGTCTCTGTAGCTGAAACTGAGTGGAGGAGAAGGTAAGGGTCAGCGGCGTTCGTTGAAATGTGTAGCCGATTTCAGTTCCATGGATTTGGCTACACATACCGCTGACCTAGTTCGAATGAACAAAGATGGCCGCCGCCACGTGTTCGTTTGCACGATCTGCGGCCACCCAGCGGTCGGCAATTTACCTACAGCAGGCTCCCAGCCTGGGAGGTAAATTGTCTGCACACTTCCAGTTCTGGGTGGTCCGCCTGTGTGGTACTTGGTTCAGTAAGCCCCATTTACTGAACCAAGTAGGAAAAGGGTACAAACAAAGTATTTTAGGGGACTGGGAACATGCATTGTTCCACAAAGTCTCAATATGTCCCCAGACAGTTCTTAAAGGGCCAGCAGCAGCACAATAAAAATCCATTATGCCCAAATACTGTTCTTAAAGGGCCATACACATCAGGTCCATAGTCATGGGGAAGGAGGCTGGCAAATAGGCTCCTCCATAATCCAGGGAAGCAGGGCAATTTGTCATTTAAAGAAACAGTTACAAAAGGCATTTTGTAACAGTGGGGATGAGACACATGGAGGAGCTTGTGGGGGTAATGAGACACATGGAAGGGGGAATGAGACACATGGAGGAGCTGGGGAGAGAATGAGACACATGGGGGACTAAGGGGGGATGGGACATATGGAAAAGCTTGGGGGTGAGACACATGTAGGAGCTAAAGGGGTGCATAAGACACATGGAAGGACTGGGGGATGAGATACATGGAGGGACTGGGGAGGATGAGAAATGTTCCCGTTTTAGTATACATCCATCAGGCAGGCTTACTGTAGTCCGCTGTAGAGAGAGTTCTCATATCACCCAGTATTGTATTGGATTAGTCCATTTGTTCCTGTATGTCCTAAAATATTCTTGCATATTGTCCTTGTGACAGACAGCCTGGAACCCCAACATGCTTTCTAGTTATCACCTGGACACCATAATCACTTCCAGCCCCTAGCCGCAGCAGCTTGGCTGGGATCTCGCCGCCTCTTCCCACCCTGGATCTGAGTCCTGGATCCAGCTCCTAGTGGTTAGAGCTCTCCTACAGAGATTATAGCAGCATAGCAGTAAATTAGAGCACGTCACTCAGAATGAAACAGCACTGCAGCAACAGCAGCACCTCTGTGAGATCAATGTCTAACAAAAATCAGCTAATATGGCTTTTCTAGTTTTAACTTAAAATGCTAAAAAGATCTAATAGCTAAACTATATTTATTTTCTTCTAGGCTAACAAACTTGTCTACCCCTAGGGCAGAAGCCCTCCGGCCCGCCAGTACAGCAGGGCATGGTGGGAAATGACCCTGCATAGTCAGTTTCCCACACAGTCCCCTTGATTAAAACCCCTGTAATACCAGTTTGTAAACCCCTTGCATGGGGAACTGCATAAATACTGTGACCTGGCAATAAAAGCTCAGTTGACCTCCAAGCTATGTGTCGTCTAGTTCTTGGGAGGAAAGGATTGATATTACGCTACCTGTGTTTTACCTGCTTATCCTGACTACCAGTGGAGATATTGTGGATTAACCCCTACTACTCCGCTACACAGCACATACCATTGGATAAGCCCCTACAGCATCATGTTACAGGAGTGAGCTGACTGGATAAATGAAAATCACCTCACTTCCATACCCCTCCTCTTTATTTCATACAAGGCATCCAAATGAACGAATAAACAAATTGAGGCAAATTAGTTCATTAGTTCATTCGTTTCTACCATCCACATATCGTCCCCTATGCTAAAGCAATGCATTGAAAAGCACAAACATTTCATACGAATGCACATATGATTTGTTTGTTCGCTGTGCGAACGTATTGCTCGTTCGGCAGTTTGCAATATGTATTACACAATCGCATATACTTTAACAGACAGTATACTGCCAGTGGCTGTCTGTAATTCAAAAAGCCGAACTAGTAATATGAATGAACGAAAAGCACAGATTTGACGTATGTGAACAGAACTAACGAATTAAAGAATGAATATATGTGCCATTCGTTCATTCGGTTACAAGTTCGGCTTTTTGAATTACACACAGTGTAATACAAAAAGTCGAATGAACGAACAAACAAAAGGCTCATGGAAGAAGTTTGCCTAGCCATTCGTTATTCGTACGAATAGACAAAAAGGCAGATTTTCGTGCGAAAATCAATTTGTACAAATACGAATGCTCAGGTCTAGTAGGTATAGCATTCCCCCCACACGTTACCCGAGACTTAATGCTGGGAGTAGATCTCTTTAATGTCATGGTTAAATATATTTATCACCTGTTTTAAATTTATAAATATATTGTTTGTATATTGTATTTTTTGTAATATTGTAATATCCTATTGTAACAATGCAATGTTTTGTGGACTTAGGACATACTTGAAAATTAGAGAAATATCAATGTATCCAAAAATGGTAAAATATTTTATAAATAAATAAATAATGCAGGCACAGTCACAGAATTTATATACAGAGTAAACTCCTCCCCTGTGCCTGGGAGATAATTGAGTCAGGAACTGTAAAAACTCAACTCCAGATACATAAAAACACATAATTTCACAACACCCCAAAATCCATGGAAACCCCACAAGAATCACAATCACAGATATCCCCGATCTGAGTGACCAACATATCCAAAAATCATACAGATCGGTTCAGTGGTTTGGATTTTCCATGGAAGTCAACTTTTGACCGACCGCACACGTGGCTTCTGCCCAAAAATAGTTCCATAAGAAAAGTGGTAGCGGTTGGTCAATTTTGGGAGTGTAAAAATGAACAAACTACCGTATGTAGTCTATAGCTGTAATGTAGAGGTTGTTCACCTAATCCATGCGAACAATTTCATTAAACAGGGCTCTTCTAAGATGTTTATTTATTTCTGGTATTTATAAAGCACCAACAGATTCCGCAGCGCTGTACAATTAGTGTAGGACGTACAATATACACAGACAAAAACAAAAGGTACAGAGGGCCCTGTCCGTAAGCTGATATCTAGCTATTGAAGCTCTTTTATACAAAGTGCTTAGCTAGATTGCCCGTTAGCTTACAATCTAAAGGATACAGTGGGGATATGAGACAATAGGTAGCAGGAGAAATTTGGAAGTGATGGCTAAAAGAAGTTCACAGAGAATTGCAGCTATTGGTAAAATATAAAGGGAATGAAGCGGTAATTTAGTGAGTATCTCAAACAGCTGGGGGAGCATGCTATATATTTAGGGAGAACCTGGGTGGGCGTGTGAGTAGTGCTGAGGAAAAATGCAGAGCTTCATGACTGCTGCCCAATACCCACATCCCGTTGCCCTCCACAAATAAACACATCACACCGTAATTATGGGTAAGGGCAACGGCCACAGCTTTATTTACTTATACAGACCAGCTTTCCACCAGCTGTCAGCTGTTGAGGGGTTTCCCCAACAGACAGCTTCCACTTCCATATCCATGAGTTCATATCAGCCTGCCTACTGCCATCAGCCCTCGGCAGGCTGCGACTCCCCAAGTTGATTCATCATCCTTCCATTTTAAAAGCACTGGCCAGGAACACCGCTGCAGCTGTGACAACGAGACAGAAAAACCAACCAGAAACACAGAAGAATACCAACAAACTAACACCGCACATTGCGCCAATATATATAGGGAGGGAGGGCGGGAAAAAGCCAGAGACCTTTGCTGTTCTTCTGGCCTCTGATGAAAACCCCTCCCAGCTCCTCACCTTTTATCCCCCCTTTTTGCAACATTGTATCCCCTTTCACTCCCCCGTTACTGCAGTCATGCCCTCCCTTCATTCTTAGTCCAGGGAGTTACTTGACTGCTGCCCAATATCCACATATCCTTCCACAAATAAACACAACACACCATAAATATGGGTAAGGGCAACGGCCACAGCTTTATTTACAGACTAGCTTTCCACCAACTGTCAGCTGTTGAGGGTTTTCCCCAAAAGACAGCTTCCACTTGAGTTCATATCAGCCTGCCTACTGCCATCAGCCTTCGGCAGGCTGCGACTCCCCAAGTTGATTCATCATCCTTCCATTTGAAATGCGCTGGCCAGGAACACCGCCACGGCGATGTCGACCGTGCTCACCTTCTGTCGGCATCGCGCCCCCCGCAGCCAGCGACAATTCCACACCAGACTGTAACCCCAGGTTAAAGATGTCTGATAAGTGGACTCCATCTCTCCTCCTTAAATTAGAGTTATCCCCTTCCAGCTCCACGTGACGGACCACTATCCCACGGAGACCTCAAACAAACCTGGTGACTGTCATGTTCAATTTTCGCCGCTCCCACTCAATTCCGTGGGCGTGCTGCAATGCTCACCAACATGGGCGCGGAACAATTTTGGACCAAATAAGTGTGAAGTCCCGTAAAAGAACTATGCACCGGGCCAAGTCCTGTTTAATCTGAAATATAAGATCTATTGTCCGCTCCCGACCCAAGTCATTACCCCCAACATGGACCACTAACGTCACAGGCCCCGAAACAAACCTCCGTAACTCCATGCATTCTGTGTAAAACCCCAGGAGAGCCCTCGAACGCCTCGCCAACGAACCCCTGCCACTTCAAAAGGAAAACCTAGGTTCCTCCCGTAGGACCTTTGCTCAGCTCTGCACGCTGCCCAATAAATATATGAGTGACCCAGGATCCAGACAAAGCGCAGGGAACCTACAAGAGAAAATTGTAAGAAAATTACAACAGATGGGGTCGCATGTTCAACCGATAACGCCCCGACTCCCATCTGCCCAAACGCTTAATCGCAGATTTAGAAAACCCTAACATGCCTGCTTGAGTGGCAGCCCCAATACGGAAGGAGTGGGCCGAGTATCCCGACAGGTCGCCACCACCAGACCGCAAGACTGCCCTTAATCTGTTAGAGAACTGATATCTCGTTAACGGAGACCCATCGTTATGAACCATCAATGACACTACCCAAATAGGTCTGACCACTTAATAGGCTACCAACAACCGCACAGGGCAGAAGGGGCCCCCAGTGGCCACTATCCACACCCATGTCCCCCGACATTTCCCGCCGGACTAGGAGCTCCACCGCAGAATAAAGCCGGCGGACGTCCGACAGCAGCATGGGCAACTCGGCATGCAAATTGGGAGTCACCAGCTCCCCACACGAAAAGCCCCGACAAAAACATAACAAAAAGGATACCCTAAAAAGCAAGACCTCGAACTCAGAAGTACATACCTTCGGAAGGTCTCTCAGCAAGCGCCCCAGCAGGTCCACCGAAATTGGTCTCCGACTTCCGAACCCGCCAACCTCTCAACACCCTCTGAATACAGAACTCCTTAGTCAGGTCACTTCACCCCAAAAACCTGAATAAAAAGGACAAAGCCGCCATCGCCCGGTCTGCCGAGGCACTGGACTTACCCTGAGACTGGTAGGAGGCCAAGAGCAGCAGCGTGACTTTGAAGCGTCCTTCGTCCGATGAAACCCTGTGCTCACCATCCACGATAGCCAACCACTGAGACCACACCACCCGATAGGAACGCCAAGACGACCGGGATAAGGATTCCGACACCAGCCTCCAAAACGATGTCCCATAAAAATGGAGGACAAGACCGACCCACTTGATCCGCTCCAGGCGCTGCCTCTCGGAACCGGTCCCACTGAAACCGAGACAGAGAGTCAGCCACCACATGGAACACCCCGGGAACATGAAACGCCTTCACCCAGACGTTGAACTGCAGACTCAACAGCACTAATCGCCAAAGCAGCACCAACACCGGAGGGTAGGCGGAAGATGCCCGAGTAATCACATGGACCATGCTCATGTTGTCCGTGTGAAAGACAACAACGTGCCCACGCAACTCTTCGTCCTAGAGCTCCAACGCCATCACAATTGGAAAAAGCTCCAAAAAGATGAGGTTGCGCATGATGTCTATGCCTCTCCAGCCCGCCGGCCAAGCATCTGCGCACCACTGGCCACGGAAGAACGCACCAAAACCCACGGAGCCAGACGTGTCCGTGAATAGGTCCAACAAAGAATTAGGCACCGTCTCTCGAAGCCAGCAGGAATGGCCATTGTAGGTGCCCAGAAAAGAACTCCATACATGTAAATCCGCCCGCATACATCTGTTCACTCGATTGAAATGATGGGGTTCACGATTGCCTACTGTGGATAGAGATAAACAACGACAGAAAGCCCTACCCATAGGAAGAACCTGACACGCAAAAGTCAGGTGACCCAAGAGGACCTGCATCTGCCTCAATTGAACCTTCTTAGCCTCTTTTACCCTGTCCAATAACTCCAGCAAAACCGCCAGTTTATCCTCAGGCAGCCGAAAAATCATTTTGTGTCGATTTCTATGCCGAGGAATGACAGAACGGCTACTGGGCCAACGGTCTTCTGTTCAGCGACCGGGATGCCAAAGTCCGTAGCTACCGCCCGAAAGGAGTTTAGCAACTCCTGACACGCCACCGACCCGTCCGACCCCACAAACAGGAAGTCATCCAAGAAGTGCGTGACAGAGCTCCATCCTGCCTGCTGAACCGTGACCCATTCAAGAAATGAAGAAAACATTTTGAAGTATGAGCAAGAAATAGCACACCCCATGGGCAAATACATATCGTAATAGAAGCAACTCTGAAATGGCAGCACAGGAGGTGGAAACACTCGGGGTGCACTGGCAACAGGCGGAATGCCGACTCAATTTTCGACTTGGCCAGAAAAGCTCCAGAACCCACTTTCCAAACCAACTCCAACGCCTTATCGAATAACGCGAATCGCACACAGCATGCCTCCTTCCCTATGTCATCATTCACCGATTCCCCAGCTGTCAAGCTTGTCCTGGAGCATGTCCTCCTTATCCCCAGAACGGACTTTAAATTTTCCGAAAAAAACAGAGTCAGAAAAAACAAAAGGTATCCAAAACCCAATGTGACAGATCCATCTGTCTGAGAACTATCTTGCTATTTTGTTGGGGCATCCTGCATGAGGCAGACCCCGTCATGTGTATTCGTGGAATTACCTGCCCATACTCCCCCGTTCATTTATTTCTTAAACTCCCGAACAAAACTACCGAACGGCCGGCCACCCAGAAGAGAAGTGTGCTGCTGGTTAACCTCTTGGCCTCATTAGAATGTTGTGGTTAACTGCAGACACCTCCTAATTGAAACCGTATGCTGGGTGGTCGTCGTTCGTATGCCGACCACGAGACAGAGGCCATCTTAGACGCACGAATGAACAGCGGTGTTCGTCGGGATAAAACTTACCAGGTAAGGTTAAAGGATCTTAACATGTATAGCTTGGAGGAAAGACAAGACAGGGGGGATATGATAGAAACATTTAAATATATAAAGGGAATCAACACAGTAAAGGAGGAGACTATATTTAAAAGAAGAAAAACTACCACAACAAGAGGACATAGTCTTAAATTAGAGGGACAAAGGCAGGGCCGGACTGGGGATACAAAGCAGCCCTGGAAAAAAATTTGTGCAAGCCCCATAAGTCACTGCGCCATATATTGTCGCGTGTAATATGTAAGGCTATGTCTGGCCAGGACAGATGATTGAGTAAAATATATATATATATATATTTATATATTGCTTTTTCTAATATAAAATATTGGTCCTTTCAGGGTAAAACGTTTAATTATACAGTAAGCATACGCACATGCAGACACAGGCAATTTCACTGACATTTCAGTGACACACACAAGCTCATTGATACACAGCCTCATAGACAAACAATCTTACTGATATACATCAGCTCATTGACATAAAAACACAAGCTCACTCACTAGCAGGCACACGCATGCAAGCAAGCTCACTCACTAGCAGACGCACACACACAGCTTAATGTGGTGGTACTGGTGTCTATAGCATGTCCCTACAGGCTTTTCAACGTAAACACTGACTTTTCAGACAAAAGGCAGTGTTTACATTGCTTCAAAGTGACACTGCTAGTGACAGTCACTCAGACGGTCACTAGAGGTGCTTCCTGTGTTAGTGCCCTCCCGCCCTCGCGCGCTGCTGAATGAGACTGGCGCCGGAATATGACGTCATATTCCGGCGCCGGTCTCATTCAGCTGCGTGCTGGGGAGCAGAGCCAGCGCAGCTCGCGCAGCTCCCTCAGCGGCCGCCAGGACAAGTCCGCCAGCGGCCGCCAAAAGACCTCCCCAGCGGCCAGGGGAGGGCTGGCAGCCTTAGGCCTGGGGGGCAAAACCAGTCAAGTAGACTGGTGCACCTGCCCAGGATCAGAGCCGGTGCAAGGATTTTTGCCGCCCTAGACAAAATAAAAATTTGCTGCCCCCACATGTCACATCACAATGCCCCACCCATATGATCTGCCATATGAACTAACGCCAGTGCTGCACACAGTGTGTGTTTACATTAAAAAGCCTGCAGGGACCAGCTATAGACACCAGAACCACTTCATTAAGCTATAGTGTCCCTTTAATGTGAGGTAAATTATAGATTAGTGTCACTAATAATATACTAGATTGCCTACTTACAAGCAGATGAGGATGATGATGGGCTGCAGTTTGGCTCCACTGGTCTGGTGTAGAACAGGATCTCTGGAGGCTGTTTGCAACTGTGGTCACAAAATTCAATGTTCTGGGAGAATTGGAAGCAGCTCCATTTTTTGGGGCCCCTTACACAGCTCAAGGTCTGGGCCCCAGGGCCTGACGGTGAGTATGCCCATAAGGCCCACTCATAAGTTTCACCCACCCATGAGTTCGCTCACAGGGAGTGGAGTGTGTAGGGGATGTGTTATGTGTTATTGTAGAGGATCTAATATGTTTGCTTATGGTATGTAGTGTTTAGGGTTACCAGTTTGTGCAGGTGATGCAGTGTGTTTGTGTGTAGTGGAAGCAGTGTGTATTTGTGTATAAGGGATGTATTATGTGTTTCTGATTGTGTGAATCTGTGTTTGTATGCATAAGGGATGCAAGGTGTGTGTCTGTATGTGTGTGCATGAGATGCATTGTGTTTCTGTGTGTATGTAAGAAAAGAAGTGTATGTGTTTGCCTGCGTGTGTACGGGTTTGCATTGTCTGTTTCTGTGTATGTGTGCAAAGGATGCATTGTCTTTGTGTGTAAGGGTTGCATTGTGTGTGTGTAATGGATGCATTGTGTGTTTCTCTGTGTGTAAGGGAAGCATGTTGTGTTTCTGTATGTGTAGGGATGCATTGTGTGTTT